TCTTTAAATGATCTCTCTGCCTCCTTTCCCTTTCCACCTTCGGTTTGCTACCGCAGAGAAAACATGGTAAGAAGAAAGACCTGCCTGGACTGCAATTCTAGTGTAGTCATTTATTAAGAGTAGCAATCACTAAATCTCTTGGAACCTTAACTGCTTTATCTATAAACTGGGTCCATCTTATTATTTATATTTATGCTGGCAGTTGGTGGTGTGGTAGAGTAGAAATATTATACTATAATCACTTACATCTAGATGCATAACTAGAAGTTGCCTTTGGATCAGAACCAGGAATTCGGCTAGTAATAAGTGGTACAGTTTGGGTACTTATTTTAGAAAAGGGAGAGTAGCTCAGACCTAAAAGTTCACTCAAAACAATATAGAGTCAGTTGGATATTAAAGCTACAGAGCAGGTTACATTTAGGGTTCTGATCAGATTTCCTTGCCAACTTTCTAGAAGTCAATGGCACATAAAACATTTCCCCACTTGCCTGTTACCTGCAGCCAAGGGCACGATACTGCAGTGAAAACCGACTAACTGTAAAGAACTTGTTCTAAATATACCTTACTTACAATTTCATTTATTTTATGGTCCCTACTTGTTAAAAAGTATTATACTTACTTAGACTACGACATTAATAATTTCATGAGGTTTAGAAAAAGATTTTGCCTGGGAATCTGATTACTGGCGGTTTAATGCAGCGTTTAACTAAGTGATTACTATAGTCTAAAACTGGTTATGAGAAATATAAATTCAAAGGCACATGAAAGTCTTCTTTTAACCTCAGTTCTAAAGGAATGAATCTTTCTAAGCAATGACTGGTATGCAAACATTCACTGAAAGTAAAACTCTGCATATTAATCTTTATCCAAACATACACTTACACATGATTATGTGTGTGTGTATATATATATATATATATATATATATAAGTTAATAAGGGGAAAAATTATGTCACCATTTTGCAATGTGAAATGAGTAAATGGCCTTCTGCACAATTATCAATGACTAACATCAGGAAGAGACATCTAGACCTATGTGCATTCACACGCCTGACCCTCCAAAACAGGGAGGAAAGAGAAAAACCAGACCTGAATGGGAACATGTGTCTAGATCCAACTGTCAATTTCCAGGATATACAGACACCCCCAAACCACATCATACTACACATAAGTATGTAACCAAGAAAAAGTCAAATACGTGGAAATACTTGAAAACAAAATGACCCATTTTCTTCAACAAGTAAACTATAAGTCATGAGAGAAAAAAACCAAAAAGGTAAGGCCAGATATGGAGAGAGGCTACAAAATAAAAGCTACCAAAATTTTAATAACAGCTCATTGGGCTTTCTTTCAGCTATTTCGTACAGTTCTGACATGACTAAATCTTAGCTTTTCTATATAAGCCCTTATCCTTTAGCTAAGATCACAAAATAATGCCTACAGTTTGTGAAATTCTGTTAGACCAGCATTTAAAACAAGTCAGTTAAATGAACTATCTCTGATCAGCAATAAAAGCTTATTTCTATATGTCTTCATGAATATATTAAGAAAAATAAAAATAAATGTTGAGAAATGGTCAAGTCACAGGAAAAATAATGGACTTTATTGGGTGGGATTAGGAAGAGAACAAAGAATTCAAGACTTGGGAAACCTCTTACTAGCACAAAATATGTTACCTACAACTTGGCTTTTTTACTCACCTACGTTTTGATATGTTGAATTTAAGTCTATTTACTCAATTCTGGATTTGTCAGCTTTATCTGTTTTCAATAGATATATTTGTGAGAAGTATAGCAACTTTTCTTGTTCCCCTTTATTTTTTCATTAATTTATATAAAAACCATAATGAATGATACCATTAGAAGTTAAAAAAAAAGAGGTGGGTCCTCCCTGGTGACGCAGAGGGTTAAAGCACAGCACTGAGAAATCTAAAGCCGCTTTCGCATGAGTTTGGTTCCGGCCTGCTCCGGAGGTGATCCCCATGGTGTGGCAGACCTCTCCTGGCCCGCCCGCTGCTCCCCTCAGCAGTGTACTTCGTCGACCTGCCTGTTCTGTTCCCCACTCTGTCTCTGGTGAAGCCTCTCACCACCCCTGAGCCTCTGGCCTGTACCCCAGTTCTGTATGCACAAATAAATAAATCTTTAAAAAAAAAAAGAGGCAACAGACTTTTCGAATGTTCTTTTATCTATCACAACATAAGAGAGAAACATAAGATATTCATTATCAGGAAAGTAACAGGCAGAAGAAAATGGTTTTGTTTCACAAATATACCTTTGTCTCATGTAACTGTAGATCTGAGCTCCTCTATTGGTAGCTTTAAAAAACTTTTATTTTATATATTTTAAAACTTTTATATATTTTTCACCCACTGGTAATTTTCCACTTTAACAGTTGTCTTTGCCACAACGACAACAAAAACAAAACCACACAGGCCCTGCTCTACACTTTACAAACTTAGTTCTATTTTCACTATTTCTGTACATTTTACTTCAGAAAACTTAAAATTAGTATAATTTTCAGACCAGATTTTTTTTATTAGGTGTTGTCAAGTGGAATGAAAATATCTCAAAGAGAAGCAAGTAGATTTATAAGCTTTATAGACCAGAAAGTGTTGCTGTGCAATTCGAAACATGGCTTTTTCATAGCCTCTCTCCTGAACCAACAAATCAGGAAAAGTCTTGCAGCATGAATGAGCCACAATGAAATTGGTTTCTAAAAGATTTCCCCAAGTTTATAAAAATGAGCACAAATACAATGAAATTAATTTCTGATATTAAAACAAGGCTCTTGATAACAAAAGTCACTTTTAGTAGCCTATTATAGTGATTACTGAAGACTTGCACAATTGAGCAAATTGACACCAAAGAGGTTAAGGCCCTTATGGTCATCAACAATATTCCAGGTGTAAAGAAGTATTTTAATTAAAGGATATCGCCATGCATGGCATCAAATCATGGTATAGAGTTTCATTGACACTAAAAACAAAAACAAAACAACAACAACAAAAAAACAACCCTTTCTTTTTTTTGTTCCTGAGAAAAGCAGATACAGCATGAGCAGCTCTAGTAAAAACTGGCAGAAGCAACGTTTATAGAACTCTGAAATCTAGTCAAAAACTTTCAGCAACGGGTGAGCGTTAAAGAAGCAGCATGCTGATGTAGTGAGCTGAGATGTGGGGTGGAGGGAGAGCAAGCAAGAACACACTATAAAAGAGACCTTTATTTCTGTCTGCCTACCATGGTGCCGAGACTGGTGATGGCAGTGAGGATGGCAGTCCGTGTTTAGGGGCAGGTTGCTGGCAGGAGGGAAAAACACCAGACCTCATTCTCACAAGAATTTTGGTTGGTTGTTTCAGTATCTGGAGACTCCCTGAAGCACCAGTGCAATGGCTTGAATTTGTTCCATGCAACTTAAGAGTGTTCCCAGGGCTGGAGCAACTTCCCAGGTGACACTGGTCAAAAACATTTAAAGGCAAAGTACTGATCACAGCAGCCTAAGAACAATAAGGCGAGGCTATGAACAGACTGAAAAGTCTGGAAGGAGATGTGTAGAGTAACGGGGCCTTTTATTTTTAATTTTTTTTTCCTCTACTACCTTTGGAACATAATTTGGCCTCAGTGCTTATGCACATTGAATGTGATGGTACTGCTGCTTTTTTAAAGATTTATTTGTATTTATTTATGATACAAGAACTGGGGTGTAGGCGAGAGGTGCGAGGTAGGGTGTGGTGGCAGTGAGAGGACTCACCAGAGACAGAGTAGGGAGCAGAACATGTGGATCTACTGAACTACAGTGATGAGGGGAGCAGCAGATAAGGTCTGTGGAGCCATGTGGATCACTCCCTGGCTGGGGATAGCTTGATAGCACTGAGACTTTAACCCCTGTGCCACCAGGGGTTATTTTTATAACCCAGGTATCTATTTTTAATCTGACATTTGTGTTGCTGACCTACCTGCCTGCATCAGCATTGAGGCCAAATTATGATCCAAAATAAAGCAGTATTTTAAAATGTTTCCTAGTTCCTAAAGAAACTGGCACATTAAGATCCATCAAACTGCTCAAATGTTACTTTTGTTTCACCCAAAATTCCTAGCAAGTACTTCTCCTGAGTCAAAGGAGACAACACATGTTGAACAAAATCCCCAGTGGTCGGCAGAATCTAAAGAAACCAAATGTTCCCAGTAACTTTCACATAAACCAAGGAATATAAATTTGAAACAAAAAGGGGCACAAATGCTTTAGAGGAAATTTAGCATAGCAGATAAGATTTTTATGCCACTTTTCTGAAATTAGGTCAAAATATATTATAATTAAATATTGTATACTTCCCCCATTATGAAATCTGTGGGGGAAAAACAAACACTGCTAATGAACCAACTTCCAAGTCCAGAGGCATTTGTTTAAAACTGAGCAATGAAAAAAGTTTCTGCTAAAAACCTATGTATACATGTTGAATTCAGATCTTTCTGGGCTCTTCTATATAAGGATACAACCAGAGAAAATTAATTGTGCTGCACAGCAAAGACCTAAAAGCTAAATAGGAATCTTGTTTCACTGCTGGAAATCAGAACTCTGGAAATCACTGTCAGGCACACAGGGCAAAACTGTCACAAACTAAAACTCAAATCTCTATGTTAAATCTTACGTAATTACCCTCAAATGGTAAAAACAGCCCAGGATTCACCCAAAACAAATTATCTTGTGCTTGCTTCCCCGGCACATAGACAAAACAAAATTTTCTTATACTAAAATAAGAGATATTACTATCTCCCAAATAGCAAAGATAGACTTTAAGAATGTAACATGAATAAGGCTCATCATGAACTGGTTCAACACTTAAGTGGTGATTTTAGGAATTATAATGAATCCTGCTACTCTCTGAAAATGAATGTACCAAAGAGGAAATAACTTCCTTGGCAGGCTTACAGCTATGAAACACATCTGTTTCACTGCTTTCAAGGCCAGTGCTACAAGCTCAGAATGAGTCAATGGGAGGAGGATTACAGAGGGAGGCAGATACAGAGCAGGCAGATGGCACACTCGGAGAGAAACAAGCAAGTACAGGGTAAGTATTTTTAACAAATACAGTGGGTCTAAAGATATTTTTCCTTCAAAAACTATGCTATCCTAATTTTTCATTTCTATTCAACAGTTTAAAAATCAAAATGAAAATTTATCAATGCTAAAGGGTAGATTTTTAATGAGATCTGCAAATTTTAATTTAACCTATCCATCAGATTCTTCTCCTTCCAAGGAAACTAGGACGTAAAAAAATTACCACTTAAATAAACAAAAATGGTTTAAATTTGGTACAGAGTAAAAATTTCGAAAGTATTTGTTGCAGAAACATGCTTTGGAAAATGAATTACTAAAAACTGTTCAGACAGTATTATCTTTACTTTCCTTTTCTCAAACTAAAGGAATTCTAAAATGCTATATAAAAATGGCACTCATATCACCATTAAGATAATCCTGGCCAGACAAAACTCAATTACAAATGAGGATTCCTCGCTGGTAAACCAGTCACTTAGACTGTAGGAGGGCTTGGGCTTGGTGTGCTTTCAGATGGGTGTATGAAAGTTCCATTCAGAATTGTTCAGTTCTTTGACATTTCTGTTCTTCTGTACACGTTCTAAGGTAAAGGTAAAAGATATTTAAAGGCCAGGAAACACCTAGTTTTTTTTTATTATAAAAATAGAGTGTCTCCAGTCTCATTAGCTGACGCACATCAGGAATGCGTGTGGACCTTGCAGCCCTGTCACAATGCGCAAGGGGCCTACTGGGACCGGAGGGGTGAAGTTCAGGCTTTTAAAAAGGTTTTTGAAATAAACAATGCAATCCATATATTTATATTTAGGGGGGATTTGCATTTAAACATGACATCACCACTACAGCAAGAACAAAAAAAAAAAAAAAAAAGAGAAACTAGTAAAGCCTTTTCTTCACAGCTGCCGGTTCCAGGCACTGAGCCTCACGACTCCGGTGTCTCTGCGGACTGCGATGTTGGGCCCGGCCCACGGACACGGGCATGTGCTGTGTGCTGTGCGCTGTCATTTTTGAGAACCTGAATTTTTTTTTTAAAGGAAGGAGTCAACTTTGGCTTTGAGTGTTTGGCCAGGGTACGATGCCTTAAAAAAGCCGATGACCAGCATAGCTACTGACCATGCTGACCACTGTACAAAACTGGGCCAACTCACAGAAAAACAGCAAATGGCTTTCTCTTGTAGAATGTCTGAACAAAGAACAATTCCTGAGCTTATTTTGCAGAGCTCACTTGATCAGTTATTTTCTTCTAATGGGTCGGGATTCCAGACAGACTCGACACCGGAGGAAATGAAGCAGCCTGGTGAGGAGCAGGGAAACAAACCACGCTGGGCAGCTCTCCTGATACTCCTGGTGATAATACCCACCATTGGGGGAAACATCCTTGTTATTCTGGCTGTTTCACTGGAGAAAAAGCTGCAATATGCCACCAATTATTTCCTAATGTCACTGGCGGTAGCTGATTTGCTGGTTGGATTGTTTGTGATGCCGATTGCCCTTCTGACAATAATGTTTGGTAAGTATTTTACTTTGTTCCTGCCATCAAACCACAGAATTATGATATGCTGTGAGAGAAATGCACTGATTTAACCTTTAGGGATGGACCTGAGCTATTTAGCAATATAGTAAGTTTTTCAATGTTGGTATCATTTTTGAAGAAGAAAAAATAATTCCCTAGGATCAATCCTATTCCCCCTACAACTATATAATTTAATCACTTCAGTCTTCCAATTTAGCAACATTCATAGATTCTACATACTTTACCTAAAAAGTATAATGAAGATCAGGTTTGTACTTTAATTTCCCTATTTTTTCCTTGTCAAAGGACACTTCTGTGATAGTTATGTGTTAATTATTAATAAGATCTCTCAATCACTAAATTCCATAAAATCACTAAATCCTAATTTAAAAATCCCTGTTATACCTCAAAGTTGTGTACTTTATTCTTAAATACAATTCTTAACACACTTGTCATATTAAGAAAAAAACATGTGCAGTTTCTGAAGGATTTGGTCTGGCTTAGAGCTGTTCCAAGAATTGGTCCCTCTGATTAATTTTTATTGTTTCTGACCATCTGTGTTCTTAAAACATATTAAGAGAACAAATGAGATGGAAAAAGGCACAAAATGATGTAAAAATAAGCTATTATAAAAAAATAAAAAGTAAAAAAAAAAGAAACACATTAAGAGAAATCAGACCTCTAGTTTAACAATATAAGTGGCCCAAAAGCTGAGTTATTACAATAATAAAAAATGTAACTGACACAGAAATCTTAGTTATAAAATAAAAGATGATATTAAAATTACTAACTCATGTGTATCACCTCTACTTAAAGGATTTGGTTAAACACAGTATTCCTGGTTATGAATTATGAGTGCCCCTAGACCTTTGGAATCAGCATTAAGAACTTATATGCTTGGCATAAATGGATATTCCATTTACTAGCTGCTTAAGAGAAATGATTATTTGTAACAGATATGGAATCTTGTAATTATGTTTACACAGGGAAGTATAAAAGCAAAATTTAAGTAGAGTATAAAAGTATAAAAGCAAAATTTAAGTAGAAGGGGAAGAAAAGCTGTCATTTGAATTACTACATTTAGGTTTAAGGCCTGTATTTTTATAGTTATGGGAAGATATCTAAAATTAAGCATTTCATTCCACAAATAAAATCAGATGGTGACAGCTGAAAACCTATTCTAAATCAACTTTTACCCAGGCTTTAAACTGTATGGTCAGATAAGGAGCAATATTGTTCTAAGGCTTTAATTAGACTCTCTGATCATTAATATTGTCTACTTATCTCTGCCCCCCTTTTATAAATTTGTACTCTTTTGAATAATCTAGTGCTATATATAGCCATGGAAAATGATCAAGGAATTCTATTTTAAAGAAGAACCTAAAAATCTTAATCCTGAATAAAGTTTAGAATAAACAAAGGAAAACTTCAGCGTGTTTGATAAAGCTCACATAGGCATTTGATTTAAGCTTTCATACCGATGCACTTAAAAACAGCTTAGTTTTTATACTACGCACCATTTAAAACTGCACTTATGGAAGAGGAAGGGGATCAAATCAGGATGGGAAGAGCACAGGGTCTATGGCAATGGCACAAGGGTGAACTTGCAGTGGGAATTATACGGGGACTACACATAAAAGGAGAAAGCGTACATTATACAAAAAGAGTGACATAAAAATATATAATATATATATAAAATAGAAACACCAATTCCACCCTCCTGCACATTTAAAATTGTGCTTTGCTGGGTATACAGAACATATTAAAAATGCTCATTTATACCACATCTCACATTCTATGTTGAATAAATGAGACTGAGTGGGTTACGCAGGAGTGAATTTTAACTTTAAGATCCATGAGTCCATTGATATCAAACATCTATGATAAGCAAAACACTGTGGGATATACTTAGGACTCTTAAAATATGAAGCTACATAATATTAAAGTGAGCTGACAAGACAAGAAACCAAGTAACAGAACTGAGCACATGCCTCAGTTAACAGCAGGGATCCAGAAGCTGGGAACCAAGTTTCAAGTTTATACTTAAATGGGGCATGAGAAGGAGGGAAAAATTTTTTTTTTTAGGGAAGGGGGTCGGCAGGACGCTCCCTGCCAAACTCTGCATAGAATCAGAGCGCTGGGACCCTGGGGTGTTCAAGCCCAGGGTTCCAGGAGGGAAAAACTTTTACCATCAGTATTTAAGCTATATAGTAAGTGAGTAGATTTTTTAAAGAATAAACCAACTAGGAACTTAACCCCTATTTAAAACACTACTACACTTATTATTAAAAATTATTTTATTTCTATGAGAAGGTATATAAGAAAATTCATGCTGCTCTCTAAAAGCAAAGGACCCTGTAAATAAATTGGGAATTATACATCTTATAAATGGGGAACAGACTTCAAATATTAAAATATTTTGATAGTCTTTCACACACTGATAAACACTAAGACTTTCTAAATGAATGCACTTATAAGAACTGATAATTTAAAAGGCAGTAGATGGGGTCACTACAGAGATAATATTCAGAATTTTTAAAATGTTTATAACCATGAGTGTCCTTGTTTCAGTAAACAAACAAAAAAACATACCATTATAAGTGATAGGATTTTAGTTATCACAAGGAAATTCAATTAAAGTAACAAAGTTTGTAATAGCTAGTATTCTAGTAAGATTGAGTTAAAAAAGCAGGGGAGAGCAGGGAAATACAAAAAAATATTTTAAGAATATTTTATTCAACCAATGATTATTATTTGATGATATGGTTTGCATCTCTATTTTACTGAGATTATAACAATCAGAATATGGTCTTTCACATGAGTTGTGGCAGGTCAGATTTTCAGCCACTTTTTCTCTTCTAGGAGCACTGGACTTGACCTTTAGTTCTTGCCTTTCACCGTTTTATGTATGATTCCTAAAACTATGATCATAAATTAGCAGCCTGTAACATAAGGCATGGAAATACCTGCATTAGAATTACATGAATGGGATGCAAAAGAAAACAGAGATCTTAAGTCCACACAATCAGGATGTTTCACAGTTAAGAACTCCCCTGAACTTTTCCTTCCTTCATTAAATAAATGTTTAAAAGTGTACAGGGAGAAAATATACTATACTGGCTTACTGAAAACTTAAGTTTTAATTCGTATCTCATGATCTATCTGCTGAAACATGTCTGTGGTATGATTGAAAGAGGGAAGAAAAAATGGGAAGAAAGACACCCAGGCTCTGAGTCATGCATTAGTTTAGACCAGCTACTTAATATATCAGAACTCAACCACCTTCTCCATAAAACTGGGTGCACTAACCCTTACATTGCTGGTATCTAAAATTGTCAAGCAGTGCCCGAGTTATATAGGCACATAACTGGCAGGTGTGAGTACTGCACGCAAAGGTTTATATACTAAAGCATATGATTTCATTTAGATATGCATTTGACCAAAGATGAAAACAGATGTAGAAGAAAAAAAAATTCAGCTTCTTGTTTATGCAATGAAATGTTCTACCTATTTCTTAAATGAGGAAATAGTAAAGGTACTTCTTTTTGAAACACAGAAATTTAAAAGACCAAGGAAAAATGTTCATGTTATTATCACTTAAAACATTTAAAATACTATCATTTCAGAATATTCCATATACTCAAATGTAGCAGAAAGCAACAATAAAAATAAAGAAGCTTTATAATAAAAATCTGAGCACTGCTCTATGTCTTTTCTCCTCCTTGAAGGTAAAGGCAGAAACATAGAACTCCTGAGTTAAAAAAAAAAAATGTGTACTTGAAAACTAAATTCTTTATGGATGTTTAGAATTTGTCAGCCAGTTCATGAACTATTTACCTCGGTGAACTCTACAGGCATAATATTCTTGGAATGGCTTTAAAATACATTCTGAAATCCTCAAAAGGGAAGTATTTTTAGGTCTCAGATTTATAGACTGTCAATTCCAAAATAAAAACTTGTCCAAAGAGTAAGGAGATTTGAGATAAAAATAAGTCCGTCTCATCAAGAAACAGAGCTCTTGTTTAAAATTTAAGACATTTATACCAACTTAAAAGCTAGGACAAAACCCCAAACCAAACAAAATCCCTTCAAAACCAAACAAAAACATTAAAAACAAGCCCTCCCCTTCCCAAACTAGTAAAAAACAAATATGGAAATGCATATAGGCTATTTATACTTTTTAATATATGATTATATGCAATTTATGTGTGTGTATGCACATATTAAAAGTATACTTTAATCACAAATGTAGTGAAAAGTTAAACAGTTAAACATTCTCATGCCTTTTTTTTGAAAGGCAGGATGTAGGTTCATTTGGAAACATGTACTCTTGGTACAGAGGTTGGAAGATAAACACTGATTTTATACTGGTGATATAGTTTATTATTTCTAAGTAGGAGGGCTTAAATGGCTGGATTAGTTGGCTAGTTTCTGTCAAACAATAATAGTAATAAGAACTAACATTTATTGAGTGCTTTCTGTATCCTAGACATTATTCCAAACACTTTTACATGTATTATTACATTTAATTTTAAAAGCCACACTATAACAGTGTTCTAATTATTCCCATTTAAAAAAGTTGAAAGATTTATACAATCTGAAGAGAATCCAGACTGTATCATTCCCATTTTATAAGATGGATAGAATAAATGGTAAGACATGATCTGAAACCTGGAGAATTGACCCTGGAATTCATATTCTTAACCTCAATGACTTCACTTTCTCAAAAGCAAAGGGAAAAAATGGAATCAAGCACAACTGTCATATTTGGCACACAGAACCAACCTTTTCATCTTAAATAATTTCATCTAACAAGAGAGCCACAGAATTGTGTCATTGTTTAAAAGTTAGGGTCCATGTAAATGATAGAGCACTGGGGTCTTAACTAGTACTTGTACAAACTCCTGAGCTGACTGCCAGATCTCGTTTTTAAGACACCAGACCAAGGTGGTGCCTGTGAAGTTGTTGGGACCCTGACTGGGGGGTGAACAGAAGGTTCTATCACTGAGTGACAATTCTACCACGTTTTTGTATTGTGCTAAAGTACACAGTCCTCATTTTAAACAACTAAACATTTTAGCTACTAATATTCTTTATCAAATAATTAACTGTCTAGGATCTATGGTACACCTGAGACTTGTTTTCCTCCTGTATGGTTATTTTAGGCAACCACAGAAATGCCATTACTCAAACCTCACTGAAATTAATTTCCAATCTGAGTTTAATTTGTAAGTGGGCGGAAGAAAGTAGTGGAAATGGCTTTTTTCAGAGAAAATTTTGTGCTTTCTTTTTGTGGAACAACAAACAGTACATCATTGAAATGTCCGCATTCTTCTGTCTCAGCTTTTATGATAGTCAAGTTAGAGTTCCCAAATAACAGTAATTAATTTTAGGTCAAGTACTTGATTTATTTTGCTTGGGAGAGACTCTTTAAGATACACCTTTCTTTTTAATGTAAATCCAGAAGTGTTCCAGTTAAATGTATTAAGTAGATTATAAAATTTATTAATTAAATGCTAACATATTACATTAAACCAATGCAATTATAAATCTTTAAGCTAAAACTTAATAAAACTGACATGTGAAATCTTAGAATTTCACCTACTTCATGATACTAAGTTAACTTTTTTTCAGTTATTCTGAATAGTAAAAAGCTTTTCTGATCCTTGGGCCTATTAAAGTATCACTGACTGAAAATTTCCTAGTGAAAGTATCAGAATTGGGAAAAATTCCTTTACAAACTAGAAAATTTAGATTACTTGTATCTGCTTAGGCAATTAAGCAAGACTATTTATTTAAAGATTTATTTATGCATACAAAACTGGAGTACAGGCCAAAGGTGTGGTGAGTGAAATGACTCACCAGAGAGAGACTGGGGAGCAGAACAGCCAGATTAACAAAGTTCATTGCTGTGAGGAGCAGTGGGCAAGATAGGAGAGGTCTGCCACACCATATGGATCACCTCCCTGGGCGGGGTTTGAACTCACACTGAAGAGTCTTTAGCTTCGAAGTGTTGTGCTTTTAACCCATTGCGCCACCAGGGAGGGCCCTAAGCAGGGCTTTTAAAGTTTCTTTTATAAAAGATTTCTAGAATTTTGGTGATGGGAAGTCCAAGGGGATTACAACGGAGATGGAAAAATGCACAAAATGATGTAAAAACAAACTATTATATTATTAAAAAAAAGATTTCTAGAATTAATTTAATGTAAGCCCTGTTACTTTTATGTTAGTTTCATAAAAAGATATTCACTGATCTTTCAAGAAACTAAGAATTGTAAAACTAATCATAAAGATCCATTTTTCAATCCTGAATGTCATAATCTTTTAAAGAAAGTTCTGTATCATTCTTCAATATTCCTACTGTTAATAATATAAAAGCACTGACTCCAAAGAGTTTTCCTTCTTAACCCACAATTAGGAGCATGTGGATCAAACAGACTGATTCCAAACACAATTTTTTTTTTTTTTAAGATTTACTTATTTATTCATACAGAACTGGGGTACAGGCCAGAGATGCAGAGGGTGAGAGGATTCACCAGAGACAGAGTGGGGAGCAGAACAGGCAGATCGATGAAGTCCATTGCTGATGGGAGCAGCGGGGGCATCAGGAGAGGTCTGCCGTGCCATGTGGATCTCCTCTGGGGCAGGCGGGAATCGAACTCATGTGGAAGTGGCTTTAGCTTCTTGGTGCTGTGCTTTAACCCGCTGAGCCACCAAGGAGGGCCCACAATGTACTTTTAATGAGAGTTCTATTGTGGCTTCTTGCCACAATATTAGATTTATGATTCCAAATGTTAACTTTAAAAAACATAACCTAGGGCTCTCCTTGGTGGTGCAACGGGTTAAAGCAGCGCATTATGAAGCTCTCTGAAGCCACTGCAGCAGGTGTTCCATCCCCGGCCAGGGAGGTGACCCAACATGGCTTGGCAGACCTCTCTTTTCCTGCCCACTGCTCCCCTCAGCATTGTACTTTGTCAATCTGCCCATTCTGCTCCCCACTCTGTCTCTGGTGAGTCATCTTGCCCACTACACTTATGGCCTGTACCCCAGTTCTGTAAGCATAAATAATAAAAAAAACTTTAAGAAAACAAACATAACCTATACTTGGAATAGCTAAATAGAGAAGACAAAATTATTAGTACCCATTTTAAAGATGTTACAGAGCGAGCTTGAATTTCAAGAAAAGAAGCCTAAGATCTAAGACATTATCTGTCTTTCAAAACCCTTAACCATGATTCTGGCTGTAGCTCTACCTCTAAGACCTAATCTAGAACTTAAGCACAGCTCAGAATGCAGCTTCACCTTAAGTAGTTTCCACTGCAAAACTCTAACCAAACATGATTCTTCACTTTACTTAGACCTTAGTTGTTTTTTAAGGTGCTTTTCCATGAATTGGCAGATAAACTAACAAGTAGGGCTCAGACGGAGAAAATCTTGGTTAGACCCTTCTAAATACAGGTTTCTCTGCCATTCTTTGGAAAGCCTCCCGTAAGTTCCTTTCTGTGAGGCATGGTTCATCATGCTACATCAGCAAACTGAGCCCATGCTACATCAGCCCATGCTACATCAGCAAACTGACGCACAACTTGTATGACTTAAGATCCCACCACCCCAGAAAATCTTCCTACAGCAATCACTTCCAAATGTTACTTTACATATACATCAGTGGGGGATCTTGTTAAATTGCAGCGTTTGACTTAGCAGGTCTGGGAGGCAGCCTAAAAGTGCTAACAAGTCCTAGGTGCTGCCAATTCTGGCCTTGATGTACACACTTCAACAATATTTGAAAGAGCACTCTTCTGATAAACAAATGCTCCCTCCTATACTCAATGACTTAATTGTACCTGAATTTACTCATCTGCAGAATCAGTGGGATAATCTTTAAGGTCCTTTCCAACTCACTGCATCTAATTTATGGAGAAGCACGAATTATGTTTTTCTACCTGATGCTTTAATTCTTTTTTTTTTTTAAGTTGTATTTATTTATGCTTACAGAACTGGGGTACAGGCCAGAGGTGTGGTGGGTGAGAGGATCACCAGAAACAGAGGGGGGAGCAGAACAGGCAGATTGACAAAGTACACTGCTGAGGGGAGCAGTGGGTGGGCCAGGAGAGGTCTGCCAAGCCATGTGGGTCAGCTCCCTTGCTGGGGATCAAACTTGTGCTGCAGTGATTTTGGAATGCTTCATAACTGGTTGCTTTAACCCATTGCACCACCATGGAGGGCCCTCTACTACTTTTAAAAGAAGCTGCTAAAATGGCCCTTTCTGGTGGCACAAGGGGTTAAAGCTCAGCACTGTGAAGCTGGCTGCAGATGCTCAATGCCAGTTCAATCGACAGCCCCAGAGGTGACCTACATGGCACAGGAGACCTCTCCTGACCTGCCTGCTGCTCCCCTCAGCAGTGTACTTCATCAATCTACCTGTCCTGCTCCCCACTCTTGTCTCCGATGAATCCTCTCACTGCTCCCGCACCTAAGGCCTATACCCTAGTACTGTATGTATAAATGTCTTTAAAATAAAATTTAAAAAAAAAAAAAAGCTGCTGAAATGGAATCAGGTACTAAATAATATACCCTTTTTAAAATAAAACTTCATTTTGATTTTATTTTGCTTCTAAGAAAAAAGATTTTAACATTTCTGACTAAGATGTATGACATTAGCTCTATACAGAAGTAATTTTCTTTTATAAGAAGTTGTATCATCTATCTCTTTGTGCATGAGTTTTTTTTTTTTTGATAAAATGGGTTCTACCTGAAACATTTTACAACACTAAAAACCATTTTAAGTTACTTTTAAATGGCAAACATGTAGTCAGTGTTTCTAAAGTGCTTAAGACTATATAAGGTGTAATACAATAAGTAATTATTATGAGTCTGTTAAGCAAATTATCACTATGTCTAATGCTGAGCTTTTTTTTTTAAAACCAAAAGTCCATATTACTTATACAGCTCTAGTGTTTAGAATGAAGGATGAGATATAGAAAGTTAACAATCTACTTCTTTCAGGATAATCTGAAGACATTCCTTTTGTTAACTTTATTCAAAAGCTATTTTTGTCAGAAAGAAAATTCAAATCATTTCACTTAAGTATTTAACCAAATGAGTTTATATATATACAAGGATCATGCTGTTAGCTATTGTTAGAAATGAGTTTAAATTCCAGGCTTCACTTCACTCTATTGCCACATTGTGTACTCTATATGACCGAATGTTTTATTTTTATACAATAGCAGTTTAAAAGCAAATTTTACTTGAATAGAAAAGTTAAGGTCCAAATGTAATATTGTGTAATATTGTGTAATTTATATGACCGAATGTTTTATTTTTATACAATAGCAGTTTAAAAGCAAATTTTACTTGAATAGAAAAGTTAAGGTCCAAATGTAATATTGTGTAATTTTTAAAAGATCATAAAAGGGGGCTCTCCCTGGTGGCGCAATGGGTTAAAGCACCGCATTATGAAGCTCTCCAAAGCCACTGCAGCATGAGTTCAATCCCCCGCCAGGGAGCTGACCCACATGGTGTGGCAGACCTCTCCTGACCCGCCCACTGCTCCCCTCAGCAGTGGACTTCGTCGATCTGCCTGTTCTGCTCCCCACTCTGTCTCTGGTGAATCCTCTCACTGTCTCTGTACCTTTGGCCTGTACACCAGTTCTGTATGCATAAAGAAATCTATAAAAAAAAATCACAAAAGGTAAAAGACAAAAGAGCAAAGGTTAAATAAAGACTAAAAATAATCAACTACTGCTACCTTAGAAAAATGGTTGTAATCATTATACAAGATCAAAAATGTATTTAAAAGGAAACATGTACAAAAATATCCTACTTAGTATTACTGACTACATTATCTGAAGTTAAATGTCTCAGAGTTGTCATAAAGTTTCAGATGAGCAATGAAAAGTTTGAGTATGTACCACTTTAAAAAACTGCAGACTGGAAGTTGCCATTTACAGGAGACTATATTTTTATTTTGTTTTTCTTTCTTTCAGAAGCGATGTGGCCCCTCCCACTTGTTCTATGCCCTGCCTGGTTATTTCTTGATGTTCTTTTTTCTACTGCGTCCATCATGCACCTCTGTGCCATTTCAGTGGATCGTTACATAGCCATCAAAAAACCAATCCAGGCCAATCAATGTAACTCTAGAGCCACAGCATTCATCAAGATTACTGTGGTGTGGTTAATTTCAATAGGTATGTGGAGAAAGTCAGGGTGTGGAATGATGTTATGTTTGGTTCCATTTAGCTACCCGAATACCATATCTGAAGAAACTTAGCAGAGGAGGTCAAGCAACCATCACAAACCAACACAAGCTCATTATGCCATTACATTTATCTATAGCTTCTTTACCCTTCTATCTGCAAAAAGTGTGAAAAAGCTGTAAAATTCATGTCCTAAGAAAAGCCATCTTCAGTGTTTACTAAGATAATGCTTTGATTTTTGACATGTAAGAAGGCTAAGTCTAAAAGGTTTTTCCTAACTGTTAACATATACAGATAGGAATCCCAAAATTATATTCTCTACACAGGTATCAAAACCCCAAATTCATCTTGGAAGGCAATGGGTATGCAGACTGAAAAAGCAGTGTCTGTCTGCTAGGTGTTTAAAGTAGTGAGGAGGCAAGATAGAAAAAAGTTTGGACTTGCAGCTTATCTTTGGCTTCTGGCACGACTCAACTGTGTAACAGCAGAATAAAAGCATCTATCGACAATATATTAATGAGTGGGTATAGCTGTGTTCCAATAAAATTTAATTTACCTAAAATGGGAGGCCAAATGTGGCCTTCAAAGTGCAATGTGCTGACCCCTAGTGTAAAATAGAACAGTTATACTTTCTGGTTGTATGCCTGAGGTAAAGGATAAAATGTAGCCTCCAGCAGCTACTTCTTTAGCCACTATAAAAGAGCTATGCAGATGATGGAGCTCTTGCATATTCATTAAACAACACAAGTACTTTAAAGATTTCTAAAGATTAGTTCAGACTGATTTTTAAACCCCTGCTTTTTCGAGGGGGAGGGCTCAATCTTATGTTGTCTTCCTAGCACAAAGTTGGTTCACTAAACAAGATTATATCTAAGTAGCTACTTCAGGTATGTAAGATGTTAGAAAATAGCACAAAGCACAGTTCTACTACAGGAACTCTCAATCTTAAAGATAAATTTTACAATTCATATGTTCTACAATTTCTCAGCAATGTTAAAAAAACAAAAAAAAGAACTCCTGAGTCAGAAGATTAAAAGACATTCATATAATCAAAAGAAAAAGCTGTCTGTTAACTGAAACTGTATAACCTAAAAACATAGTAAAATGTTACTGAGAATTAAGATCTTGCAAGGATGTACTGTGAAGCCTTTTAAGTAAACTACTGACTATTAAGATAAAAGGAATTTCTTTACTGAATTCTTTTTTAACCTTGGATAGATCAACAACAAAAACTGATTATGAAAGATGGAAAATAGATACTATCTCATGAACATACTATAGCTTTAGGGAGTGCTCTAGTTATAGATAAAAACAGCAGGCTTCCTGTTTTCACTAAGTTCTGTTTGTCAAGTCTTTCACTGACTATAATTGCTTTGACAGATTGTACACTGTGAATACCAGGAATTATACTAGTGCATAGTCACAAAGATAAACTGAAAGGACCTAACCTAATAGTCAAAATCATAAAATTAACTTACTTGTGTCTTCTTAGGCATTGCCATTCCAGTCCCAGTTAGAGGGATAGAAGCTGATCTGGGCAATGCAGACAACATCACTTGCGTCATGACCAAGGATCGTTTTAGCAATTTCAAGCTCTTTGGCTCACTGGCTGCCTTTTTTATACCACTGGCAATCATGATTATCACCTACTTTCTCACAATCCATGCTTTGCAGAAGAAAGCTTACTTGGTCAAAAACAAGCCACCTCCACGTCTACCGTGGCTGAATGTGTCTACAATTTTCCAAAGGGATGAAACATCCTGCCCATCACCTGAAAAGGTGGCAATGTTAGATGGTTCTTGCAAGGACAAAACCCTGCCCACCTCAAGTGATGACATCCTTGTGCGAAGAATGTCTACAGCTGGAAAAAAGTCATTACAGACCATTTCCAATGAACAGAGAGCCTCAAAGGTTCTAGGGATTGTGTTTTTCCTTTTTTTGCTTATGTGGTGTCCCTTTTTTATTACAAATATAACTTCAGTTTTATGTGATTCCTGCAACCAGACTACTCTTGAAATGCTCCTGGAGATATTTGTGTGGGTAGGCTATGTTTCCTCAGGGGTGAATCCACTGGTCTATACTCTCTTTAATAAGACTTTTCGGGATGCATTTGGCCGATACATCACCTGCAATTACTGGGCCACAAAATCAAAAAAAACTCTTAGAAATTGCTCTAGTAATATCTACTTTCGGAATCCAATGGCAGAGAACTCTAAGTTTTTCATGAAACATGGAGTGAGAAATGGGGTTAACCCTGCCACGTATCAGAGCCCAATGAGGCTCCGAAGTTCAACCATTCAGTCTTCATCAATTATTCTACTAGATACACTTCTCTTAACTGAAAATGAAGGGGACAAAATTGAAGAGCAAGTCAGTTATGTATAGCAAAAGTGGCATAGTTTTGATCTAATAATATGAATAAGATGATGAAGCAGATATAAATATAACAAAAATTATAAATTCTTGTCATGTATCAAACCAATTTCCTTAAAAGTTATGATTAAGACTATCTAATTTCCCTTATTTAAACAGGGGGTCACATAGATCTTACTCCATGAAAAAAGTCATTCTGTGGAGTTACAAATTAAAACAATCCAGCACTCTGGTTAAAGGTTAAAGGATTCAAATGAGGTAAAATTAATCAAAAGATTTCAAGCATTAAAAAAATGATCAAATTTATTTAGCTCCCAATTATATACAAAGCTGTGCTAAGAATGCAATAAAACAAAACAAATGAGCATTTACTTTGTCTTTCTGGTCTCAAAAGCATAAAGGTATATGCCTTATACCTTAGAATGGTGTTTACACAGAACAGTGAGGGGAAAAGAAGACTAAAGATAAGTGTCCAAATAATAATTCCATCTGAAGGTAAGCTAATATGCTTGTCATTGACAGTATAGCTTAGTTAAATGTCATTTACTTTTGATCAGGAAACTGTCTTGATGGAAGAGGTGGGTAGAAGAGTGGTTGGGTATCATATGAAACAACAGGATCTTAGAACTAGATCTGATTGCTAAATGGCCGATGCCAGGCACCTACTCACAGAGTAAGAGGAGAAAGCAAATGAAATCACTCTCTGTACCAGAACCTCATTATGCGCCATAAAGAGCAAGTGAAGCTAGAGTTCTGGGAACTCAATCTGGAACATAAACTTTAGTGAACTCATAAACTAATATCGCTGCTGCCCAAATGTGCCCAAAAACTTGGTTGAATTTCTGGCACAAGTCTTTTATTCACCCTTTCATTATGCATTTTGCATTGCTAGATCCAGGAATAAATTTAACTTCGGTCAGTACTGGCTGAGTGAACTTATGAAAGACAGCTCACTTCTCTCAGGGTCAGTTTTCTTATCTTCAGCTCACAGGGTTCTTAAGAGGATGAGTGAACAGAGTGAGCACTCTGTAGGCGGAAGTCATTCTATCTATCTTAGGTATTTTATTTTTATGCCACTTGTATAAAAGGTAAACAAAGTGAGCCTGCAGGGGTCAGCAGTGACGGCTACCCATAGCTTAGTTTTCCCCTCTTCTCTGCAACTGATCATACTGAAGCCCCTCCTATTGCTCTGTCACTCTTTAGGCAATTCATAAGGAAAGTCATTCAAGAACTGTTGTTTGTTATGGGAACTTGACCCAAATGAACAAGTACTATTCTCTAAATGGGAGAATCCCTTTGTTGAACATAGTCTAAAACACAGATCTTACAAATTCTATGTCAAAGACTAAATTTGACAAATTTATTCCTAAATTATCAAAGTTTTAGACATTTTCTCTCACTAGTCTAAGATTCTCCCACAGCATTAGTGGTCCTCTGTAATAAAAGGCAACATAATTAAAGTCCCTAATAATCAATCACTCTTCTTTATTTTAGTTCCTCTCTCTAATATTATGGGTTTGGCATACAGTAAAATTAATATTCTTGTCAAGGTATGTGAGATTAAGTTTTTAGATATCCCGTAAGCAGTATTCCAAACTGCATCTTATGTTCTGAAGGCACAATTGTTTTAGTAAATCAAATATTAATTTGACGGTCACACTGCCAAACCTTATTCTACTTCTGTTAAATCTAGATTAGAATGATCTTCCCACATGCACTATATTGCCTCCAAATTTGTGTATGTGCTTAAGCACAAGCACCAATGTCTCTTAACTTTTCTTCAGAATTTCAAATATCCCAACTATGTTTCAGTCAATGTTAATCACAGTAAAGTACAAAATTCTGTACAACCTTTAAACTATGTACCTTTAATTCCTGAAAAACAAAAAAAATTCTTGTTTATGTTAGATAAAGACCTTTCTATAGTGAATGAGATTAAAGTAGTATTTCCTGAAGATTCTAAAACATAAAATATAACAAAAATGTAAATCATTTTTGAAAAAGTATAACACAGAATTTGTACCACTTTGATACATAACTAATATTTCCATTTCAAAGTACTCTAGAGAAAAATACTTTTAAAGTAAATCTGAGCAGTACTTTTAAAGCAGCAAAGGTACTCTAATAATAATCTCATTATTCCTCAAAGAAAAGGAACAGATTGTACCACTTTAAAAGAGTAATTCTGAAAAAACCTTTTAGCCTATTCTACATATTGTTAACTAATGGAGAGGGAAAACAAAGGCATGGAAAATACAAAAATGAAGATGAAGTTATAGCATTCAAAAAATAAACACAAAGATACCAAGGCAGAAAGAAAACAGTTTACAGACTATATATCAAACTGATATAAAATTGTGAATGGAGATATAAAAGTATCTCCAACTGGCCCCAGAGATTGCCAGCTATGGTAAACTATTAGTGATCCTTCAAATTCTAGAGGTCTACAATGATGCAACATTTTATAAAGGATCCATTTTTTTGTGGCCTAAATTTTACCCACATCAAGAATCTCCCTCTCATCTTGCAAGATGTACCCATATTCAAAAACTGTGAATGTACAAAATGAGAAATACTATCTCATATTGTAACAGCTTAAGTCATATAGCAAAGATGACTGGGGCCTCCAAAATTGTCTAATTTTAACAAAGGTCTACATAAAATCAACTTGTTCATTATTGTAGCAATTTAATTTCCACATGTAAACACCGATGACCCTAAACTTTCCTTCAGAATCTCAACAATTCCAACTGTATTTCAGCCACTGTCAACCACAGTAAGTACAAATAAATGACAGTTATAATGAAACTTGCTGACTAGCATGGTAATAGTGGGGCCCACAATCACCTAAGTACTACATCAAAAATGAATTAGGTCCACTTCAGCTTGGCCAGAATATTTTTCAATTTAATTTTTTAATTTTTACCATATACATTATGAAAAAATAACCCACAGATATTACTACAACTGCCTGGACTGTGACTATCCTGAGAATAAAACAGTAGACAAACATGAGAATTTTTAGTTTTCCACAAAAATAATTCCATTTTAGTTTGTGAAGCAAAAATACATATTTACTGACATGTTTCCCATGTGTATTTTCCAAGAGTATTTTTTTTTTAAAGATTTAATTTATTATTTATTTGTGCATACAGAACTGGTGTACAGGCCAGAGGCTCAGGGGCGGTGAGAGGTTTTCACCAAAGACAGAGTGGGGAGCAGAACAGGCAGATCTACGAAGTACACTGCTGAGGGAAGCAGCGGGCGGGCCAGGAGAGGTCTGGCTCGCCATGTGGTCTCCTCCGGGGCAGGAGGCAGGCAGGAATCGAACTCATGCGGAAGTGGCTTCACATTCTCAATGCTGTGCTTTAACCCGCTGCGCCACCAGGGAGGGCCTCCAAGAGTATTTTTAAGTACATTTAAAAAGAAGTTTAAAAATCAGAAAGAAATAAATCCTGAAAACTTGGATTAAGAAAGTCTAATGTCTGCAGTCATTTTAAAAGCACATCTAAAAGGGAAGAAATTATAAAAGGGAATATAAATTAAGCAAATGATGACACATCAGAAAAACATACTCTAGGATGTAAGACAGAAATTTCTCAAATAAAATTAATGGGGAGAGGGCCCTCCCTGGTGGCGCAGCGGGTTAAAGCACAGCACTGAGAATCTAAAGCCGCTTCCGCATGAGTTCGATTCCCGCCTGCCCCAGAGGTGACCACATGGTATGGCAGACTTCTCCTGACACACCCACTGCCCCCCTGAGCAGTGTACTTGTCAATCTGCCTGTTCTGTTCCCCACTCAGCCTCTCACGGCACCTGAGCCTCTGGCCTGTACCCCAGTTCTGTATACACAAGTAAATAAATCTTTAAAAAAAAAAAAATTTAATGGGGAGAACTTAAGAATAAAAAGATTCTACCAGAACCACTCAGAAAGAGTGCTGTGGTGAAAAGGCACATGTCTACATGAGAACTGCTCTGAATTTTAATTCTATCATTTAGCTTTATGACAATGTGATATTTTGTTGATCATTCTGGATTTTTTTTTTATTCTTTTTTAAAAAAGATAAATTTTATTCCAGGAAAACAGCACTAAGCTTAAATTCAGAGAACTTGATTTTAATTGAAATTTCTTCACAATTACATTTCATTTTCTTTTTCTGTGAGTCAGTTTTAGATAAAGTCATCTGCGAAGTGTTTTCCAGTTTCTGCAGCTAAGAATTATATTATGAAAAGGAAGCTCGGAAGGGTTCCTTAGTAATAATGAGCTATTACTAGTGAAGTCTGATTATCCTTAGTAGTAGTAGAGATCTTAGCAAAACATAAAAGCAACACATGAGACACATCTGCTATTTAAACTAGGAGCTCAGGATACACAAGGGCAAAAATGAATTTGTTAGAGAGCAATGCACTGTCAAGTTAAAAAGAAAAAGTTTTCATAAACTTGCGGCACTGACTTATATGGTATGAAATATCACGTCACTAATAGGGAGAAAAAATAAAGGAAAAGAATATCAGGTAGGGTTCCTCATACCAGATAAGCGTTACCAGGATATGCCTAGAAGAACGTATTTCCTATGCTAAACATATGCAGTTCTCTGATAAGAATTTTTAAAACACAAAATAACTCTCTCTGGATGGCAATGATAAAATCATTTTTTGTTTTTTAATTGAACCTAAAATCTAGAGCAAATGTAGGGAAAGATTCGGGTCACAAGCTTGGCTCGAATGATATGTTAAAGATGACAGGAAGGAAAGACTGATTTTAAGCAATGATTTTTAGATCAGAAAAGTTACATTGTTAAGACTAAGAAAACTCTTCTGGGGCTGGTGTCTGGGCATTCAGAATGGTTCGGCACTTGCCAGATGTACATAGGCTACCCCATAACTCCGTCTCTAAGAAAACCACACCGTCCCAAGCATCTGGTATAGTAGCACACCTTCATACCAAGAAGTAGGGAAAACACTGAAACCTGATGTGGTTATGCCCAGGTACTGCTGCTGTATGATCTCAAGTTCTTATGATGCTGTCTAAGATGAAGACAAAATGTCTGCAGAGACAATGGTGACACCATATGTGCTAAAAAATGTATGTGACAAGATCAGAAGTGCTTTCCTTATTAAGGAGCAGAAAATTGTGAAAGTACTGAAGGTGTAAGCAGAGCCAGAAAACTATACTCAAAGTGCAAAGTAGATAAATACTGGTTACCTTAAATAAATCAAGTCTTTCAGCTAAATGAATCACCTCCCTGAAAGAGAACTTGTGAATATAATTATGAAATCACTGGTGATAAGTCTGAGGTAAAAAGAAATTGGCAACGATAAGATAGTAGGACCCTCCCTACTATCTATTTAACTAGCGGGTTTAAAACACAGCACTAAGAAGCTAAATCCACTTCAGCATGAGTTTGATTCCCACCCCTGGAGGAGATCCACAGGGCCCAGCAGACCTCTCCTGATCTGCCTGCTGCTCCCCTCAGCAGTGTACTTCGTCGATCTGCCTGTTCTGCTCCCCACTCGTGACTGTGGTGAATCTTCTCACCACCCTTGTACCTGGACCCAGTTCTATATGCATAAATAAATAAATCATTTTTTTTAACGATTTA